TGTCCCAACCCAGCAAAAATGGTAGCCTGATCCTCTCCCTCTTTCTTTGAATCTATTTCCTGCTGGGCCCAAAGGAATGTATTCTCCAATAAGGATATAATCCTCTGACCTCTTACTTGGCAGTAAGTCCCTCTGAATTCAATTGTATTTACTTCTGTGTGGGAATGTATAAAATCATATTTTTTTGTGAACAGTAGGGCAGAAGTGTTGTCAGTGGTGATTGGGACCTTCAGGTAGAGAAGAGAATCAATCACTGATGCCAAGGTAACTTCCCACCAACCTATCACACCCTCCAACCATACACACACATACCCAATTCCACTCTGATCCTGATTTGGAGTGCAGGGCACACATTTCCAAAAACCATTTTTTCCAAGAAACTGCGGGGTAAAGACATTTCCACTTTGAATCTGGAGGAACATTGTGTATTCAAACAAAATCTGGTTTGAGGTAAGTATCAATTATTTTACAGGTGTAGATTCAACCTAAATCTCATTGAAGTCAGTAGGACTTACTTTTGAACAGAATCCTTCCAACCTCTGCTGTTTTGCTTGGTTCTGAGGACTGCACTGCAATCAGCAGCTGGAAGGAAACGCTTAGGAAAGATCTTTGTTTGTTCAGTTCGTTGTTGTCCCAGGCTGTTTGCAAATCCATAATCCTATTTAATCACAGCAAAAGTATTAAGCCTTCATCCCTCCTGAATTGTACATTTATAATTCAGATCATGCCTGTACAAAAGCTTACACGTAGGCTATACACGGCAGCCTTCACTCAAGCTGGCATCTTCCAGATTGGCTGGACTACAACCCACGCTGTTCCCAGCCAGCATGGGCAATATGTTGTTGTTGTTGTTGTTGTTGTTGTTGTTGTTGTTGTTGTGTGTCTTCAAGTCATTTCCAACTAATGGTGACCCTACCATGGGTTTTCTGGGGCTGAGAGTGTGTGACTCACCCAAGGGCACCCAGTGGGTTTCCATAACTGAGCGGGGAATAGAACCCTGATCTCCAGCGTTGTACTCCAATGCACAAACCACTACACCACACTGAAACTTATGGGCAATGTGCCCTCCAATATTTTGCAGCTGGAAACTGGGATGTGTGTGGCCAAGATGGCAAAAGTTATTAAGCAAGAAAAACACACAAGCTAGGAAATGCTGCAGAAATATCCTTTTGCCAAAGCCTACTGGGAAGGGGATAATTCCACCCTTCCTCTCTTCTCCTTCTTGCTGAATTAATTGAATGAAAACTGGGACATTTTAGAAGTAGCTGAAAAAATGGGACAACCAAGAATTAATCAGAATTGTTTCTGCCAAATCAGGACAGTTGGAGGGTCTGGAGTATGCTGCCTGGGGACAACGGGATTGTTATACCTGGAGGGCATTATATTGGAGAAAACAGCTCTAGATAGTGTTGCCTGGAATCAGACCCAAGATATTTCATCCGTAGTAGGTTTTGGTTTCTTGTAGATGCAACACATAAGGCACCTACTGATTTATGCTAAGGGTGAACTCAGATTGACATGAAGATGACCTCCTAGAATGTCATTTTTCTTCACAGAGCTTGAACATGTTGAAAAGTACACTTCTGAAGCCGTGAATCTGGATATAAGAGTTTATTTTATTTCATCTGTATTTCACCCTTTCTTCCAATAAGGGACCTACAGCAACTCACAAAGCAGACTAAAACAAAATACAGCCCAGAATCAATCATAATAGTAAAAACAATTGTAAAAACCGTGAAATAAAGTTTCCAATTTAAAAAACACAGTAATTTAAAACAATTTAAAAGTATTTAAGACATAACAAATGATATGGAAAAGTAACCCACAATAAAAAGTTCCTTCTGCAGCAACCCCCACTTCATAGCCAAAAGCCTAGCTCTATTTTTTTTAAAAGTATTTGCCTGCCAAAGAAAGGGGAGTATACCCTCCAACTGTGCCAGTTTGGCACGGACAATCCTGATTAATCCTGTTGTCCCATTTTTTCAGCTGCTTTTAAAATGTCCCAGTTTCTCTCTCCTCCTTCTGCTTTCCCTTGTCCTCACCTTATTTCAGCTGCTGCACACCAAGTTCAAAGAGCAAAAGCAGTTTGCATTCCGTTGTTATTATTATTAATAATAATAATAATAATAATAATAATAATAATAATAATACATTTATTTCTATCCCACCCCTCTACCAAAGCAATCAGGGTGGCTTACAACAATAAAAACTCATAATAACCTATCCCAAACCCAGACCCACCCTCCCCTTAAAACAGTATTAAACATCTTAACATTAAAACAATTAACACTATAAAACAATTATAATAGTTTACACAAGTAATTATTAAAAAGTCAGTCTAACAGGCAGCCCACGAGCACTAAATAGTGTGGCTAGATGTGGCAGCATGTGGGGGAGAATTTGCTTACTCCTTGGCCAGGAATTTAGGCAGGAAAGGCCTGCCGGAGGAGATCCGTCTTGACAGCCTTTTTAAAGCTGTCTAAGTTGGTAATTTGACGGATCTCGTCCGGCAGGCCGTTCCATAATCTAGGAGCTGTTTCCGAAAAAGCCCTCTGGGAGGTTGTCGACAGTCTCTAGACCTAGCAGGTTGAAGCAAATTCCTCCCAGAGGACCGTAGTGTGCGGGTAGGATTGTACGGAAGGAGACAGTCCAGGAGATAGGATGGACCCAAGCCATGTAGGGCTTTAAAGGTGATAACCAATGCCTTGTACTGGGCCCGGAAACTAATAGGCAGCCAGTGGAGTCTTTTCAAGACTGGTGTAATATGGTCTCTCCTGGATGTACCGGAGACCAACCTGGCTGCCATATTCTGGACTAATTGAAGTTTCCAGATCAAACATGAGGGTAGCTCCTTGTAGAGCACATTACAGAAATCTAGACAGGAGGTTACCAGAGCATGTACCATAGTTTCGAGATCCCTTACTTCCAGGAAAGGGTGCAGCCGGCATATCAAGCGAAGCTAGTAACAGGCACTTCTGACCGTCGCATTCACCTGATTAAGCATGTGAAGCGACGAGTCTAGGACCCCCCCAGACTGTGAACACAGTCCTTCGCGGTAAGTGTGATCCCGTCCAGGACTGGAGATTGTATCCTAATACCTGGTTTTGGGGCCGCTTCTGTGAGTTCCTCCGTTTTATCTGGATTCAGCTTCAATCTGTTTTTCCTCATCCAGTCCATTACCACCCTAAGACAGTCGTTAAGAGGAGAGATGCCATCAGAAGTCGTGGCTGATGACCGGGACATAGAGAAATATATCTGGGTATCATCAGCGTACTGATAACACCCAGCCCCATGTCTCTGAATAATCTCTCCCAACAGCTTCATATAGATATTAAATAACATCGGGGACAGTATGGTGCCTTGTGGGATGCTACATTTAAGCTCCTTTCTAGAGGAGCTACTGTCCCCGAGCAGCACCCTTTGGGATCTACCTGAGAGGAAGGAACAGAACCACTGCAAAGCAGTGCCTCCGTTTCCCAACCCCCTCAGGCGATCCAAGAGGATGCTGTTAACTTAGCAGGAGCAGAGGGCAGGAGAGAGGAAAAACTTGTCCTTCCTAGTTGGCTCAGGCAAAAGCAAACTGCTGCAGCCTCTCAAAATTTGTATGTTCTTCCTCGTTAGTAACTTTTGTTATCTTGACTACATTTTGATGTAGCTTGACCACATCCTTGTTTTCATGTCCCTGTTTTCATCTACAAACATTTTGGAGGGTATGCTATCCTCGGAGATAGTGTGGTGCAATGGTTTGAACATTGGAGCATCCTAGGAGATTGTGGTTCAGTGGTTTGAACATTGGAGATCAGAGTTCAAATCTCTGCTTGGCAATGGAAACACACTGGGTGATCTTGGGTGAGTCACTCATTCTCAGCTTTGGAAAACTCTGTGATAGTTTCACCTTAGGGCCACCATAAGTCGGAAATGACTCGAAGGCACACATCAACAATAAACAACAAGGGAAGGAATTCCACAGCCTGGAAAGTTTTCCCTTTTCAGCTGGGTGAGCAGTGTCAGGTACTTAAACATCAGTGGGGTGAATGTACATGCCTATCTCAAATGCACATGCCTTATCTCCTGCAGCAGCAGGACTGTTTCTAGAAACTTTGACGATTCTACTTGTAAATCATAATAAAGCTCTGTTTTTCTTGTTGTTGTTTTGGCCTGAAAAGATAGCTAATGGGCAAAGCAAATGCTCAGATTGGCATCTTTTCCTGACAGGCAAGGAGACAGCAGGTTGTGTGGCTGTTTCCCCACTGAAAGGATAGCCCACAGGCTGGACAAACAACAGTGCAAGAGCATTCATTGCATGCGCACACACCCATAGAAACAGCTGGCATAAGCTTGGGTGGTTTTCTATACTACGCCAACATTATTGGAAAGCAAGCCAGTGGTACTCAAAGCTCAGTGGTGACAGTCTTTTTCTCACTAAGAGCCATATTCCCTCGAGAACCTCCTTTAGGTGTGTGCTGTTGTTGGAGAAAGTGGAAGGCAACAATGGGAAAAAGATAAATATTTTTTCTCTTTCTCTTGCTCCCTTTTGTTACTTCCTCTACCCTCCCCCATGCCTGCTCTCCCACCTTTTTCCACTCTACACCTTCTCTCTCCCCCCTTCCTATTCTGTTTTGGTCAGAATTTGCCTGGAAAACTGTGTCCAGTTCTGAGCATCACAGTTTAAGACGTATATTGTCATGCTGGAGCATGTTCAGAGGGACCAAGATGGTAAAAGGTCTGGAAACCATGCCCTATGAGGAACAGCTTAGAATGCTGGGTATGTTTAACTTGATCTGATATCTGTATTTAACTATCTGAAGGACTGCCATGTGGAAGATGGAGCAAGCTTGTTTTCTGCTGCTCTAAATTTGTTTGTTTGTTGTTGTGTGTCTCCAAGTTGTTTCCAACTATCATAGGGTTTTCTTGGCAATTTTTGTTCAGGGGAAGTTTGCCATTGCCTTGCCCTGAAGCTGAGAGCATGTGACTTGCCCAAGGTTACCCAGTGGATTTCATGGCCGAGCAGAGAATTGAACTTTGGTCTTTAGAGTCATAGTCCAACACTCAAACCACTACGCATACTGGGACACAAGTGACAAGAAAGATGATTCCGTCTAAACATAAAGAAAAGTTGTTCAAAAGTGGAATAGGTTCATTCAGAGCATGATGGACTCTCCTTCCTTTAAACAGAGGTAGGATGGCTATCTTTTGGGAGTGCTTTAGTTGTGTATTTTAGTTCTTTAGTTGTATACTCCTGCATGGGAGGGGGGATTAGATTACATGCCTCTTGTAGTCCGTTCCAAATATATGATCCCTGAGCATCTCATTCTTTCTTCCATGCAGTGGGCTTTCATTGGAAGGACAGATCATTCTTGCCAATATGGTCTGAACTGACCACTTTTGGAGCATTTGTGAAGTTACGTCTGAGGACTGCATCCATCTCTAGAGCTACAGTTTGCCCAGCTTAGTATCAGTCTTTTCCATGCTACACAGTTATAGCACTTTGATATCACTTTAACTGCCATGGCTGTTGTTGTTGTTGTTGTGTGCCTTCAAGTCGTTTGCGACTTGTGGCGACACTATCATGGGGTTTTCTTGGTCAGAGTTGTTCAGAGGAGGTTTGACATTGCCTTCCCCTGAGGCTGAGGAACTTGCCCAATTTCACTCAGTGGTTTTCATGGCTGAGCAGAGAATCAAACCCTGGTCTCCAGAGTCGTAGTCCAATACTCAAACCACTGTGCCACATTGGTTATATCCTCCTGAGGTTTGTAGTTTGGTGAGGCACATTGAGTTTCCTGGCTGAGAATTCTGAATATTCTTGCCTCTGCAACAAATCCCAGGATTGTACAGGACTGAAATGAAGCAGTGGAATAATAGTATTGTAATTGCATAGTGTGACTGTGAGATTCTTCAGAGAGGTGGGCAAATGGAATAATTTTCAGAGCATAGTTCTTGTTGTTATGAGTCTTCATATCCCAAAGGTATCAGATCCTGTCTGATCTTGGAAGCTAAGCAGAGTCAACCTTGGTTAATACTTGGATGGGCCCTAGAGTTTTGGACCAGGCAATTCAAAATACCTCCTGAAACTAAAAACCACAGGAATCCATTGCAGTTAAAGTGCAATCAAGATGCTGTAATTGTTTAGGGTAGAGTAGAAATTACTCTTTTCTCTGGCACCTCCTTCTCTACCAGATGACATCTACAGCAACCTAGAATCCTTCTTTCTGTACAGGACCTACTTGGGAGCTAAGGCCTAAGGGTTGCCAAGTAATATACAGGACAGGGTTTATATACATTTAAATAGTTGTGTGGAGGAGGGCTCTTCAGCAGATGTTGCTTGTCAAAGAAGTTCCACCTGCTGAAATGCCATCTTCTGTTCCTGATGTTGTGTGCCTTCAAGCTATCATGGGATTTTCTTGGCAAGATGTATTCAGAGAAGGTTGGCCATTGTCTTTGAGTAAGACTGAGAAAGTGGGACTTGCCCAAGGTTACCCAGTTGGTTTCCATGGTCAAGCAGAGATTTGAGCCATGATCTTCCCAGAGTCTTGTTCCAACACTTAGATCATTGAAGATTTATCCTGTGTTTCACCTGGCAACCTTATAAGGTCCAGCCAGCTGCCCAGGGATGCCACATGGTAGTGTTTGTCTTGAATTAGATTTATGTGGGGGTTAATTAGGTAGGAGCCATATGACTCCCACTCCATGAGCCCTGAGAGGATGCCAGGAGGCCAGAAAATCCAATAAACCAAAGATTAAAAGGATCATAGAGTTGAAAAGGACTGCATCAGCCACGGAGTGCAATCTCCATTCAATGCAGGATATCCAGTTACAGCATTCCCAGCAGGTAACTGTAGCCTCTTTTTGAAGATGTCCAGAGAAAGAAATCCCACCACCTCTCTAGGCAATTGGTTCTAGTGTCAAACAGCTCAAGAAGTTCATTCTAATGTTCAATCAAAATATACTCTCCTGTAATTTAAAACCACTAGATTTGACCCTACCTTCTGGAGCAGCAGAGAACAAATCTGCACCCTTCTCTCTATGACAACTTTAGATATTTAAAGAATGCAATCATACCATCTCTTAGTCTTCTCTTCACTGGGCTGAAAATGCCCAACTCCCTCAGTCTTTCTCCATATGTTTCATTCTCTATACCTCTTATCATCCTTTTTGCCTTTTTTTTTTGAACCTGCTTCAACTTGTCTATATTTTTTTCTAAAATGAGGTGCCCAGAACTGAGCCCAGTACTCCTGAGGAAGTCTGACTAGTGCAGAATATAGTGGGATTGGTTCCCTTTTTCTTGGGAATGACCGTTCTGTTATTTGCAGGCTAAAATAGAATTCCCCTACTTCTTTGCTGCAGCATCACACTGCTGGGTCATGTTCCATTTATGATCAACAGTAATCCCAAAGTCCTTTTCATATGTAGTACTACTGAGCCAAGTATCCCCCATCCTATAAGTGGGCATTTGGTTCTTGTGGGCCAAATGTTGAATTTTGCATTTGTCACTGTTGAATTTCTTTCTATTAGTTTCAGACCAATTTTCTCGTTTATGAAGGCCCTTTTGAATTCTGTCCTTATCTTTCAATGTGTTAGATATCCTCACCCCCTAATATCACATACTATCCAAGAATGTTCAACTGCATGACTGCAATCCTTTCAGTTTTTTTGTCCCAAGGAGAGTAGACCTATAGTTGTTTAATGGTGAGTCAACATATAGGTAAATCAAGTTGAATCAATGGTTCTACTCCAGTTGGCAATAGCAATAAGATTTAGAAAACGGTTACACTTGTGAGACTCTTTTATAATCATGTACTGAATGTGTCTGTTGCACAATGGCCAAAATAAAATACAACTGCCTATGTAAAAGATGGTGCATGATATAAACAGGATTCTGGCCTTTGTCCTTAATATCTCAGTTTGCAGAGTGCAGAGCATGGAAAAGTTACCCCAAATCTCCACCACTCCCAGAATGGCTAGAGTAAATGTGCCAAGTTTTGCTTTGATTCAGCCTTAGAGACAACATATCAAATCAATGGGACTTAAGTTAATGGTCATGTTGGGTGGAAAAATCTAGGCGTTCTAGCCCCAAAAGTAACTTTTCTCAGGTCCAAAACACACAGCAGAAATAATCCAGTTTGAGACTGCTTTAACTCCCCTGGGTCAATGCTATAGAATATTGAAGACTGTAGTTTTGTGGATATATAGCCTTCTCTGTCAGAGAGCTCTGGTGCCACAATAATCTACATTTCCCTGAACTCCATAGCACTGAGCTAGGGCAGTTAAAGCAGTCTCAAACTGGATTATTTCTACCATGTGTTTTGGACGTAGGTTCTGAAGGGTTGGTTTACAGCAGCAAGCCATTTCCCGGTAGTTATCTTTTCTTATTATCAGCACGCAATCTTTAATGTTGCTGTTGAAATGTTTTTCTTTTCTCAAGTGTATTAAAATTCATCGCAGTAATTTTCAAGCCTTGACAAAGAGAGAGCAAGAGAGAGAGAGAGAAGAGAAGGATCTTTTTTTCTTTTCTTTTTTAAAAAAGCTGCACAATGAAAGATGGGTTTAAATAAGAGGCTGGTTCAGTGACTAATCGTTGTTGAGCTGTAAACATTTAGCCCACTCAAGATGTTCCCAAAAAGACTTGCTCAGCATGATAACACAGGGCTCAGCGCCAAGGATGAGGTAATGTGATAATTACTTTAACAACACGCTGACTGAGCCAGAAGCAAAGCAAAATCCAAAGCTTTCTGCCTAAGGAGCCCTTAGTCCAATTTGGAAGTAAAAATGATTATCACATTTTTAGCCTCCTCTTCTTTTGTGTTCTGAAAAATACACTATAGTATCAATGCATTACAGACTACATCGGCACATCATTTTGTCATGTCTTACACATACCCTATAATATTTCACAGATGAAAACTGGCACACGTGGACAATCAATGTCAGAGTATGGTCAAGATGGCAAGGGTTACTACTCATTGGGAAGAATGCACAAGTTAGAAGAGGCTGCAGCAGTTTGGTTTTTGCTTGAACCTACTAGGAAGAGCAGGATTGTGCCCTCTCCCCTTCAAAATAGAGTGCCAACTACTTTTGCACTTGGAAGTCAGATTGCAGCAATTGACATAAGCTGTGGACAAAGGTGAAAAGTGGGAGGAGGAAAGAAAAGATAGTATATTTTAAAGCAGGTGAAAAAGTGGGGCAACAGAAGATTAATCTGGACTGTCCCTGCCAAATGGGGACACTTAGAGGATATGATTTTATACTCTTGTATAATTGATCTTTGGTTGACAAATAGTTGATTTATGGGAAGGTGAGGAGAATCAGGATGCACTTGGTCAGAAACCAGAGTTTGGAAACATCAGTTCTTGGATTGTAACTCCACAGTCCCTCCATGCTGGCTACAGGGATTCTTGGAGCTGTTATCCAAAAAAAGTAATTTCACAGAGATGGTTCTGATTGGGACCATGGCAAGGGAAAATTTGGACTCCCCCCTCCAAATAACAACATGGTCCTTTATTGACAATACCGCCCCACACACACTCCCTGATGCAAACTATTGTTTAAGAAAAATACATTTTTGAATATGGGAAACAGCACGGCATAGAGATGTTTTCAACTTGCAGTCATTTATTAAATCTTCATGAAACAGGGGGCAACTTCTAACTTTTCAGAGACATAATGAATTAACTAAGGGCCTTTGCAGACTGCCAGAAACAATGCAGATTGAGGCCACTTTAACTGTCCTGGCTCAGTGCTAAGGAAT